CGGATTTTGCTCCAAGTGTGCAATTCACATGTAGTGTTTATGCAGGGACAGTCAATGACTGAAATTCCTCAGCATGGAGGGGGCTATTCTGTACCTCTCTGGCTGGAAGCACATGTGTCCCTCCCCTCAGCTGTGCCGTCATGGGATGTGGAAACTTCCCGAGTCACAATCTGCAAGTGCCTCCTTGTGCCTCTACAAAGAACGAGTGTGAACACACGTGGGTGTGTGCAGTGCCTATAAAGCCAGCGTGGACAGCTGGGCATGGGAGGCTGCACCACTGGGTTCCTGCTCTGCGCAGCGGTGCTGTCGTGATGGGTGAGTTTCCTGCTCAGGTGCACCCCACTCCAGTGTGGTGCTGGGCTCAAATGAGACCTCACGGGGTGAGTATGCAAAGGCACAGAGAATGATGGGCAGAACAGCAGCTGTGAGTTTCCCTGGGAGCAGGAGGGCTGCCAGAGCAAAGCACCAAACCACACACACGCTTGGTGCCAGCCTGTGCCTGCCCCAGGCTACCAGTGCCATGTGTTCCAACATCCTGTTGAGGGAGGTTAATGTGCAGACCTAAGCTTCACCTTGCTCCTTTCCCAATGCATGTGGCATGTGTGGTTTCTCAGGGATCCTGCCCTAGGCATGGTGGCATCTCCCCAGGAGCTGAGTGAGTGCAGGGTGTAGGGGGGTGCTGTTGGTCAGCACACAGGGTTTGGGTTTCTAGCTCTGTGTGGGCCAGGACATTTCCATGGTGATGGGCATTTTCCTCTCCAGGGCTCCAGGCTGGGACACCCTGGCTGCACCGGGACCTTGTCCTCCTGCCCACCGTGGTGGCAATGCTTCTCCTCTGTGCCAGCGCTGGCCCAGCCATGCCCACTGCCAGCCCCCGGAGTGGTGAGTAGCAGGTGGGGGCACCGAGGGGCCCCAGAGGCAGAGCAGGACACTCAGGGCTGCTCTGTGCCAGGGGAGGTCAGCAAACACCCAAAGGGATGCACAGCACAGGAACTCCTCACACACACCACCCCTGGCCCAAGGATTCTACAGCCTGGCTCCTGCCAAGCCACCTTCACCCCCTGGGTGGGCCTGTACTGAAACCAACAGGTTTCTGCCAAAACACCACAGCTTGGAAGGATTGCTGTGCCAAAACACCACAGCTTGGAAGGATTGCTGTGCCAAAACACCACAGCTTGGAAGGATTGCTGTGCCATGCTTGTGAGGCTCAGTTCCAGGAGAGATCCTCTTAGCTATTTGGCTTTTTGTTTAGCTCTTGTTGGATTAAGAACATTCCCTTCCTCCCTTTAAGGGAGGATTACAGTACCTACAAGACCCCAGAGTTTCGTGGGTTGAATTGGAACTACCCACAGCAGATTGTCTCCCATCAAACACAAACCAAGGAAAACAAATTAGATGGCAAATTAGTTTGGCTAGTAATTGGGTAAATAAGTTTGGCTAGATAAATTATAACAAGCTGGGAGAAGAGACCCCTATAAGACCAAAGCAGAACTAAGCCTTCTTATCCAATGTCATGAGCCCCAGGGAAAACATATATTTTCATTACATATCCTCATCCAGTGGAGCATTTTAGATACTTCTGGTCCCTGCAAGAGCTGCAGCTCAGTATATCAAGGGTATATGGGCCAAACATGCTTTGAGGACATAATTGACAATCCTCGAGATTTTTTCACCCTTCTTTCCTTGGCAAGATGCATTAGAAGGCTCCAAATCAAACAGCAAATGATGAGAATTAGGTTCCAGAGCTTTTACAGAGGTCACTGGCTCGGACACCTTCAGGTTCCCTGAGGACAAGCCAGTGGAAAAGCTGCAGACTAGAACCACTCCTCTTTGTCCCGAAGCTCCTTGTTGTCCTGATAGCCTCACGGACCTTCTCTCTCCCCCCACCCCGTGTTTGCTGCTGCAGCCTCAGGCTTCCCCCCGGACTGCAGCCGCCTGCGCAGGGGCAGCCCCAGCGGCGTGTACGTCATCCAGCCGGCCCGGTCGCCCCCGCGCGTGGTCTGGTGCGACATGGACACCGAGGGCAAGGGCTGGACGGTGGTGCAGAGGAACTCGCACGACACCGAGCTCACCTGGAAGCAATCCTGGACCACCTACAAGTACGGCTTCGGGAACGTGCACAGCGATTACTGGCTGGGCACCGAGTACCTGCACCTGCTGACGCAGCAGGGCACCTACAAGGTGCGCTTCGTGGTGCGGGACAAGGCCAACGTCACCCACTACGCCGAGTACGACATCTTCAGGGTGGAGAGCGAGGCCAGCGGCTACCCGCTGAGGCTGGGCCGGCACTCTGGGGATGGGGATGACTACCTGACCCTCTACCACCCCAAGAAGGGCGGCATTCACGACAACATGAAGTTCAGCACAGTCGACAAGGACCAAGACCAGTACAGCGGGAACTGCGCCAAGAGCTACGGGGGGTGGTGGTACAACAGGTGCCAGAACGTCCTGCTCAATGCCAAAAACTACATTGTCTGGCCAGGATTCTGTGATAACGGTGACTGCGCATCCTCCCTCATCCTGGTCAAACCCACAGATGTGTGTTGACCATGCCCAGCCCCCTGGGAGTGTGGGGGTGCCACCATCCCCAGCTCAGTGCCCCATTCCCGTGCCAGTCCCAGTGCACATCCTGATCTGCCCACAGCTCCTGTTCCCTCACCAGCAGAAACACAGCAGCTCTGGGGCTCAGGAGGCATTGCCCGGAGCGCCGGGCACACAACCAGCTTTGTCCAGTGCCATGATGCTGGCTGGCACTGGGGCACAGGCACTGGTTTGGGGTGGGTGCACCCGCTCCCATCCTGGGGAGGGGGACATGGTGCCAGTTCCCTTCCCCTGCAGTTGGTGAACCCTGCTTTGCCCAGGCCCTGCTCCTTCCCTGAGCCCTGCACACCCCACAGCTCTGCTATCCATGGTGGGAGGAATAAGCTGCAATAAACCCTGGAGCCAGACCGTGCTGCCTCATGTCTACCTGCACACAGGTGTGGGGGGATCACTCTGTCCACTCTTCAGGGTGGCAGACTTGGGGGAAGGTCAGTGTGTTAGGCAATATTCCTTTCAATGGCTTGTTCCAGCCACTGCACACTGGACTGTAAGGCTACAATTAGTCGACAGGGCCAACAAAGCCCTGAGCATGCACAGCCCTCACTCACAGTTTGCCCCTGTTCATGGCTGGGTGGTTGCTCTGTGCTGGGAGAGAGAAGAAACCACCACAGCCTGGAGTGTGGAGAGGGCAGTGGACTCCCTGAGGGTGTGAGTGACATGGGTCAGTCAGTCCCATCACTCCCTGCTGCAGACAGGGAATGTGTCTGTGAAGTTCCCTTGTGATGCAGGGAAGTTTGAACCTGGGGCCTGAAAGAAGCCACAGCTCCTCTCCTCCCTCTGTGGAAGGACAGCTGAGCTCAAGGAAGGTTTGTGGCTTGGAATGCTGAACAACATGGGACTCTGGAGCCAAGCTCTGTGACCAAGGGCCCAGGGCACCCTGCAGAGCTATGGCAGTGCATTGTTCCTGAGGAGTGTCGAGTCCTCAAGGAGCATTCTTTGGCAGCCTTGGAGGCACCTGCAGGTGGGCAGCACTGTTTCATGGGGAGATGGAGATATGAGGCTGCTGCTGGCTGAGAAAGGCTTCCCAGCTGGAGCTGGCCTGAGAGTAGCAATTCTGGACTAAGAGACATCTGCTGACTTAAAAAGGCATTGGTGCTCCAGCCTGGATGCACAGCCTGACAGCAGGTGAGAGGCTGGACAAAGGCTTGGGGCTCCTGGTAAACAGCATTCCACCCAGCAGCCAGCCCTGAGTGATGCTGAGCTGCATTCCTGGGTCTATTCCAAAAATAGTTGCACTTGATGGGTCCCTTGTGGGTCCCTTTCAGTTCAGAATATTCTGTGAATCTATGAGTGCAGCCAGTGAGACATTTGCTCTGTTCAGCACTGCTAGACAACCGTGCAACAGTCAAACATCCTCCCTCTGCTCAGCATCAGAGAGCACACCACGGGTACCGTGTCCACTGCTGAGCTGTCTAGTGCACAAGGTTATCACCACACCAGAGCATACAGACCCAAGCTCATCCAGAATCTTTAAATTCTGGGATCCCTGCCATGTCAGGCTGTGTCAACTCTCACACCATCCCAGACAGACCAGCCACATGGTGCTGCGTGGCCCTGCAGTCCTGTGTTCCTTTCCAGTCTCCCAGGTCCCTCCCAGCATCCACAAGGTTAATGAGGCAGGATGACATTGGCCTGTCTTTCCATGGCTGGCAGGGTTCAAGTGACCTGATGCTTCCCTTGCACCCTCTGCTTGCTGTTGGCTGTGTCATGCTGCATTCCCTTTTTGGAAGATCCCCACCTTGGAATGCAACCCTCTTCTTTAAGTGAAAGTTTTGTCTCTAATTCCTCACTTGAGTTGTATGAAAAAATTTTCCTTTGAAAACTTTTTCTTACAGAAGCCTCAGGTGTGCTTCTGGCAGGAAACAAGTATCAGTTGCAAGGAGTTCCCAAATAAATGAAGGACACTGCAGGTCTGAAAGTGATTTTATTCTGCAGGATGTGTTGTGGACATGGCCTGCCCTGGGGTCAATATAGCTTAGGTCAGGTTAGCTGGTGATGGTGGATGTTCTTCTGCTGAAAACATCTCTACCCACAAAGCAAAAAGAGAGTAAGACCATGCTGATCAGGAGGGTTTTAGGCTTCTGAGCACAGAGTTTCTCTGAAGGAACATGCTTGGATACTGCAGTGTTTATAGAGATTCTAATAATTCTAATAATAATATTCTAATAATATTCCCCCCCCCCAAATAATATTTTAATAATATCCCCCCCAAAACCCACCACAGGTGTATGGCCAGAGACAGAGCCAGGAGCTTTGCTACTTTTCAGGACAGGGAAAACAAAGCAGTTCTTGATAGAGAGGAACAACCCTATTCACCCCCAAGGCCTCATCATCAAACAGGCCCCAGCAGGGCACTGGCCTGGCCACGTGCCACAAGGGGACAGGAGGGGGAAGGAGTTTTAGGGGTATGGAGTTGGTTTGATGAGGATGGCCGAGGCTCTGCAGTTCCCCTTGCACAGCTTGCCCCATGTCAGACCCCCCTTGACGTTCAGCTGCACCGAGTAACAGGCTGAGTACCACCAGCCACCCCCATAGCGTGAGGCACAGTTCCCTCTGTACGTATCCTGATCCCGATCCTTTGTGGAGAACTTCATGTTGTTGTGCACTTTCCTGGGATTGTCTGAATCCATGGCATCCTCTGCTGTCCCTGAGTGTGCTCCCAGCCTCAGCCGGTAGCCCTGGGACTCATCATCCAGGCTGAACAGGTTGTAGTCTGCGAACCTCATATTGTTTGCAGCATCCCAGATGACAAACCTGACCTGGTAGATCTTCTGCCTGGTGATCTGGTGGATGTACTCGGTGCCCAGCCAGAACTCAGTGTGCACGTTCCCGAAGCCGTGCTTGTAGGTGCTCCAGGACTCGGCCCAGGTGATGTCCGTGTCCCGCCGGTTCCTCTGGATGACGGTCCAGCTGCTGCCTGCCCCGCTCATCTCGCATGACACCATGATGGGGTGCAGGCCCATGGGCTGGATGATGTACACACCGCTGGGGCTGCCAGCTGGAACCTCGCTGCAGTCCCTGGGCCAAGCTGGGGCAGGACACAGGGGGATAGAGCAAAAGCCTGGGCATCAGGACAAGACCTTGGGCACGAGGGAGATTCATCTGGCCAGGGCACATGGGGGATAACCAGCTCTCCCAGCCCAGAGAGGTCTGGAGGTGAGAGGGGATTGGCCTCAAACCTCTGTTCCTTTTCTGTAGGGAAAACCAACAGGAGTCAGCCCCACTGAAAGGCCCCAGACTGACTGAGCTACGCTGGTATCAGTCCAAGAGACTGAATACAGCTCCTGAAAAAGGGGCTGTGCTACTACAGAACTAGCCCCTGCCTGTGACTAAGGGAATGGGGAAAAATGATCCCTTCATGCACAGAGCCACCCTTCCCAGCCTGCACAGTGCACACACACACACACACACACACACACACACACACACACACACACACACAGACATCCTCCATCCTGGAGCACGGCCAGGGCGAGGGACAGCACACGGACCTGCCCTACCCAGAGCTGGCTGAACATGTGCACACAATACCAGATGCCCACAGGATGCTACCTACTGGTTCTCTTCAGAACACTTGATGAAGTGTTGGAAGGAGATTTCTTGAAGGTGTTTAGGCTCTGTGTGTGCACAGCCAAGATGAGCAGGGAAGCAAGAAGCAGAAGACACTGAGCTGGTAGAAAGGGACAAGAAGAAAAGAAGAAATGTGACCGTCTCTCCCATGGCACCAGAAGCAGTTACCGGGAGCCTGTGAGCTGCAGGAGGGCACTGAGTGTGCTGGGCAGCATCAGGCTGCTCCCTGCAAACTGCAAAGCTGCCAAAGGGGTCGACAACCTGCCCTTTTCCCCTTGATCTGCAGTGGGCACGTCAAACACGGGGTAGTTTTGGGCAGAGCAAAGCAGCCAACAACTGCCTGAGCCAAGTTTCACTCCTGGTCCCTGGAGCAGGAGCCTGGCTGGGTGGGCCAGAAGACTGGGCAGGAGCAGCTGGTGCTCAGAGGTGGCAAGTGCCCCTAAAGGGCACCGGTGCCACTGCTCCCGTCAGTGTGCAAGAATCAGAGCATGGAGCCTGGCTGAACTGCCCCACCTTTGCTCTCCCCGTTGCTGGCAAGGAGCACCCACTTCCCAGCCCTGTACTCACCCATTGCTCCCTGTGGAAATGCCCTCTGGAGCGCAGAGCTCTGCAGTACCCGTCACACAGAGGGATTTGTAGTGCCCTCTGCGCTGGGCGGGCTAAGTGGGTCCTACCTCCCTTTTCTGCTGGAACAGATCAGGTTGGTTCCCTTTGTGCCTGCAGAAAACACCAGCTGAGGTGGAGGTGCCTGTGGTTCTGGACTGCAAAGAAAAGAATTCCCGTGCCAGCAAGAATCCTTGGAATGGTCTCTTCTGTGAGTGCTTAGTGACTTGGATGGAATTTTCCTGGGGAACAGCATATTTGCAAACTTTGAAGAGTATTGCTCAGCAAACACTTGAATGCCACAGCCACCAGCCAGGTGGAGAGCAAACACAGGTCTGTGCCTGCCTCCCACCACTGCAGCTGGTGCTGCCAGGTCAAGGGGCCCTTGTTTAATCTGCTCCAGTCCAGCCCAGCCTGGCTTTGGGTGGGGCAGCAGAGCAGCCCCAGGACCTTCAGAGAAGGGAATGGCTGTGGGGCAGTGTTTGAAGCAGCTGGTGCATTCTGGGGTGCGTGACACAGGCAGAGGGTTGTGCTGGAGGGGTCTGTACCTGGGGCAAGCAGGAGAAGTCATGACTCCCCAGTGAGACACAGTCCTGATCTGCCAGGAAGCAGCTGAAGGGCCTGAGGAAAGGTTTCTGTGAGGCAGGTGAGACAGTTGTGGCGTCTAAGCACTGGGTGTGGGAGTGGCCATGCAGGAGGAGAAGAAAGCATCTGCCCAGGAATGGGGTGAAAACGGGTGGATGGAGGGCAGCAACGGGGATCTGAGCATGTACAGAGGGGATCTAAGAATACTTGGAGGAAAAACAGAGGGGATTGAGCATGCACAGGGGTGGTGAGGGATATCATGGTGGAACCCATTGGAACTGAGCACCCACAGAAGGGGCACTGGGATTCTGAGCATCGATGGAGGTCAGCAGAGGGAATCTGAAGGTACCTGTTGTGAAAAAGAGGGATGTGAGCTTGCCCAGGGATAAAAAGTCAGCACTAAAGAGATGCTGAAAGGACCAAATGAGATCTGAGTACTCGAGGAGGGGAACAGATGAGATCTGGGGGCACACAGAGGGAAATTGAAGGCACAAGAGTGTACAAGGGGAAAAATGGCAAGGATCTGTTTGTGAAAGGAGAACAGAGGGGTTCTAAGAGAGCACAACGAGGGGAATGAAGAAGATATGAAAGCAGCTGGATAGGAATGGAGTGGATCTGAGAGTGGTTGGAAGTGAAGCAAATGAGTAAGAGGGGATCCAAAGAAGCACCCAGAGTGAACAGAGGGAATTTGGAAACAGGCAAAGGTAGAATAGTTTGGTTATAAGGCACTCAGAAAGGATGGCAGGGATAGGCAGTGCACAAAAGTAGAAGATCTGATACAATATCTGGCACGATAAATCTGGCTGTGTTCAATGGGAACTTGTGAGATCACAGATTCCTCATAGTGCAATTTACCAGCATGGTCCAGCTGAATAAGAACTTACACAATCCAGGTTCACAAATAGTGTGGTTTAGGGAAGGAACAGGAAAACAGATTCAGGATGTTGGTGATAAATGCACTATGGAGTGTTAATATGCATTATGACAGAAGGGATAGTAACAGGGATATATTAGATAGAAATTAGTTATATACACATAACTATTCCCAATGCAGCTGGAGGTGTGAAGCTCAACCAGAGGCATCCCTTCAGGGGAGAGACTGTCCATCTGCTGATCTCAACCAAGCAGAGATGCTTTCCCCTCCTCTTTTTGAGACCCCACTTTGATACCATAATTTTTGGCCAGCTTTGCTCCAGACATTGTTCTAATGTTGGCCCTTGCTGGAGTCAGGGGCAGCCAAGGGACCCCTCCCTTGTGTTTCTCAACCACTCCTATTGATTCTTGACCAATTTAAAGCAGCTCTAAAGCAAGTCTGCCAAGTTACTACCCTCCTGCCCCACCCTGCACCACCACCACCACTGAGAGCTCTGCAGCTGCAGCTGCAGCTGGAATGCCCATCTAGGGAAAGGAAATGCTGCCCAGTACCCAGTTTTAATGTCTACAATCCCAAGAACCCAGTATTTCTATCACAAGCATAATCCAGGTTTTCGGAACTCTGTATTTCTGTTTTAAGACTAGCACAAGAAAAGCGATTGCAGAAATTTTGGTCCTCTGGGGTGGATCCATGTGCTACAGTCCCCTAGAGTGAATCCAGGGATCTGGAATCCTCTTGGGCACCCTTTTGTCCACGTCTGCGGCATGTATGACGGACACAGAGGCATTGCCAGCTGGCCCTGGGAGACAGAAGGAGGAATAGAGAAAGGGGGGCAGAGAGGACACCCTATTCCCATGAAGGTGTATGTGGGGAGGACAGGGACACATGAGGCATTTGGAGGCCTCAAGGGGCAGCTGGGGGCTTCTCAGAGCAACTGATGGGCCTAAGGGTGAAGCTATGGTATCCTGGGGGCAACTGGGGTAACTGACTGTAACTGGTACCCCCAACAGGACAGCGAGGGTTCTAGGGAAAACAGGGGGAAATTGTAGGGTTTCAGGGGCAATTAGGGAATCTGGGGATAGTAAAGGCAGCCTGGAGTGATACTGGATGCAAGGGGGAGATCCTGAAATGGGCCAGAGGGCAAAGGGATCCTAGGAGACTTGGAGGGTCCTGTGAATTTAGGAGTGCTGGCAGTCTTTGGCCTGCCCTTAGATACCTGGGTCCCCTTGTATTTGCAGGGAATCCAAAGGGGCTGAGAATCCAGAGAGGTTAGGGAGCCCTATGCTGCTCTGAGAAGAGCTCCAGAAGCATGGGGATTTTTATAGCACAGTTCACCAGGTCAGGAGTACTCACATCAGCAGCAGGATGAATGCCATGGAGCCAAGACCCACAGCCAGCCCTACAGTTGGTATGTGGGGCAGGGGGGTCTTGTCATCCCAGTGCAGCACAGTGCTGAACGCAGCCTGGAGTCCTTTCTCTTCCTCCACGCTTCCCTCTGATACTGTGGGGACCCAGGCCCCTCAGGTCACGGGGCCATGCACAGGGACCAGCTATCCCTGCAGCTCCTGCTCCAGCCACAGACCTGCTGTCCCCAGTGACTCAGGCATCTGGGGCTCCCTGCTCCGCCCCACATGCTCCCAGGGGACTCAGGCACCAGGGAACACATGCTCTAATCCACCTGTCCACCATGAACCAGGCGTCCTGGCACCTGCTCACGCCCTTCCCGTGGAGCCAGGTGTCCCAGGTCCTGCTCTGCTCCGCACTGCTCCCTGCCCCTGGGGCACTCGGGTGTCTGGGCTCACCGTTGAGGTAGAAGAACTTGCGGACAATGGGCTTGGAATGTTCCCCGAGGCGACACGCAATGGTTCCTGGAGCGGGTTCCTCAATGGTCAGACTGAAGGGCTTCTCTGGATTCCCCTTCAGCTCCTTGAACAGGGCCATGTTCTGTGTGCGCAGCTGGGGCACAGGGGGGACACCTCAGCACGGCCCAGACCGCCGGGCACACGGAACCGCGCGGGCACACAGAGGCACCTCGTCCTGCACGTCCCCTTCGTGCTCCTTGTACTCCTGCCTGGTGCAGGGGCGCACACCTCCCATCCCACACGCAGGGATGCAACCAGGGTGTACAAACAGATTTCCTCCCTGTGACAGTGGTGAGGGTGAAGCAGAGCACCTCATCCCCTCAAGAGCTTATCTGCTGTTTGCTAGCCAGTCAGGTAATTCAAACAGGACAATCTGTCTTGTAATGAGTTCTTTTTGCACCGCTGGGTTAGCACCGGTCTGGCATCTCCCAACTGCCAATAAACATCTTAATGTTGAAGTGAGGTGTGGAAGGTAAGCTGGATTTCTGAGTGACAGCAGGTCACTTTACAACTACAAAAGTAGAAAGCTTCTATGGATCTTCCTGGAAATGTGTGGAGTTTCTCCAGTGAATAGGGACACCTATTTCCTAGTTAATCCCCCAGGGGTTGAGTGAAGGAATCTGTGTATATTATTGTCATTACATTTGGCTCCTATTCAATACTATTTCTTTTGCTAGCTTTAATATAGATACCTTGATATAGTGCACTGTTCTATGCTATGCTGTAATCTACTAGTAGTTCTTTTAGTTTTATAATGTGTAGTAAGTAATTTGGTTAAGATATTTAATCTGTTTTGCCTGTTCATTTGTTTGTTAAATAATTCCTTCTTATAAATGGATCTGATTTGCCATCATTAGGACTTTTGGGCCAAAATAATTCCAAAATGAAGATTTAAACTGTTGCCAAATTCTGAGGCTAAGGAAGGATTTACCTTCATCTGAACCCATCTCTCTGAAAGAGTTGAAATACAGAAAGGAATCCTTTCTGGCCCTCAGACTCAGCAGCGGGGCTTGTTTAATAAACATTGTTTGAAGCTTCCACTCAGTCCACAACACCCTGGCACAGGTTGCACAGGTACGATGTGGCTGCCCCATCCCTGGAAGCATCCAAGGCCAGGTTGGCTGGGGCTTGAAGCAGCCTGGTCTGGTGGAAGGTGTCCACACCTTCCAGGGGATTGGAATAACATGAGATCTAAGGTCCTTTTCAACCCAAACCATCCTGTGATTTTATGATGCTACACATGCACACATGGATCAACAAACACACATCTGCCTGCTGCTCGTGTGCACCCATCACATGGGCAAGCATCCTGTGTGTCCTTACACAGCTGCTAGCTCCAGCACAGACAGCTGCTGTGGTAGCAGTCACTACACCTGCAAGAGCCCCCTGAGAGTGGCTCCCACCCTTGCAGGACCATGTGTGACTCACATTTGGGGCAAACATCCAGGTGACAGGCAGGCCGGCGGGGATGTGGAAAGGCACATTGCAGTGCAGCACAATGGTTTCATCTGTGTAGGTCCACAGGTCCTGCACTGGAGCATTGACAGGCTCATGAGCTCCCATCTGCACATGCACTCACAGACATGATGGTGCTCCTGTGCTGCCTGCAGGCATGGGCAGATGTACACTTGGGCAGGTGCACTGGGG